CTTTAATTAGTGCTGGTCTGGCACTATTGAGAGCTCCGCCTGTGTGCAGAGATTTTACCGGCACTATACCGGGCATCTGGCACTATTCAACCGGCACTAAAAGGGTCCCTCAACTGTAGGTCGTTTTTTCCCGTTCGTATGACGGGACTTGTTCGTATTGCTGCGTCGCAACCACAATAGAACACGTTGGCGTTGAAAGTCCACCTCCAACGAAGAACATCGATCAAAGGGGACTGACTCCAAAAGGAAGACAATGCCACGCTACCGCGCGACCGCTCGCGGCTGTTATTTTTCTCAATTTTATATTTCAATCTTGCCTGAGGAGACAGCGCAATACATATAGACTAGTCTGCCGCCTCTTTGTCCTGTTTGCTCCGTTACTCCCATGCCCTGGTGCGTAGTGCCTGGTGCAGGTACGTTACCCTTTGATTTTTTCTCTAGGCGGGTGTGGGAAGCGTCCTCCTTTTTTGTTTTTCTTAATATGACACAACAAATCCATCTCTATCTGTAGAAATACGTCTAAGATAGGTTAGCAATGAATCCATAGCGTGAGCGAAAGGCTACCTGTATGTCTACGGTTTCCCAGACAGCATACAACGATAACTCCCCTGTGGGTAACAGGCTCAACAAGGCAGTTTGGTAGCCATCTTGTGTATCTATCTGTATGTTATGGTGGTCGGGAAGTTGTAGACGGAAGATTTAGGGGAACTCGGTTTGTCGGGTGTTCTATTATCGCACCCTTATGTGGTTGCGGAGCAAGCGCGTCTCGGGGTGTGTATAGTTTGTTGCTTTATTTTGATCGGTTTCCGACGGCTCTTTTCTCGAACGGTCGGTGCGGTACCTGTTGTTGTTTTCTTTCGTCATTTTGTTTTCTTTCTCCGAGCGGTTTGTACCCTATTTTGTTGTGGTTTCCCCGCGGCGTAGTATGTGCCGGGTTTTGAGACCACGGGTTCCCCGTTTTTTGTGGACTATAGAGCTGATGTGAGAAACAACAACAATGTAGGCTCCACCCAGATAAAAAAGTTTGTACAATACGCAGTCTGTTCGCTTAGTTAATCTAGGTTTGAGATTTAGTCTAGAGAAAAGGGGGTTCAGCACTTGTATGTGGGGGGATTAATGACCACGAAAGTGTGATGTGGACGGGGCGGGGTAACCGGTAGGTGAAAGTTAACGTTACCACAGCTCTCACACCAGCACAGCAGGAAGGTGTAGTATCAAGTGTGTGGTGCTTGCCCTCTGTTACCGCCCATGGACGCACTCGTCTGACGACAGTTACATCTATCAGCTGTCGCTCGATGTAGCGACAGCTAGCTTTTTTTTTTTTCTCCCATCATTGGACTCTGTCGTCTGCCCCTCTGGCCCCTATCCTCCACTTCTACCAGCTAGACGACCCAACCGGGGTCACATAGGAGGGGTTGGACCTCCTCCTGCGGTTCCTGCCTGAGATATTTTTATCTTCCTTTGAATCCAAAGGCAGAGATTTCAACCCAAAGAAGTTCGTGGTGCATAAAACCCGAGCATGGTCGCACCAGCTCGACCGACAAGGAATACTATACTGCTGTTCCCCGCCCGCTTCATCAGCGGCATGTGAACCGTACATTTACTCGCCAAACGCCGCACAGCCGCGGAAATATTCAACGAAGCACGTTCAACCCGCGGCACCGTTCACCGTCGTGATGGCGATGATGGCGATGACAAGGCCCGAGTCGAACTTAGCTGGACAGGTCGGGTGCAACGTGTGCCGCCCCGACACCGACGTTTAACACCACCGGGCCGCTACAAGTAAGACATGCCGAAGTTACGCCAGGGCCGTTGCAAGCTCATACTATTGTATACGTGCATTGCATTCCACCAGTGAGAGGGGGCGAGGGGACAAGGTTCCAACATTATCTATCTCGACATCAACACATGGTACAAAGAAACACACACAACAGCGACGTTAACATATTTTGCATTGTCTGACTCTACCTTTCAAATGTCCGGACCCCACAAAGCTGCGGTATTACGCACTTCTGCCTCATGAACGCGATACCACGTATAAATCTCACGGTCCGATAGAAACGGCGTGTTGCGGCCGCGACCTCTCCTCCTCGTGACCGCGGTACCCATGGGCTCCCCCAGTTCCGACCCCACCCTCTATCCCGTCGCCGTTTGCATCCTCTCTCGATGACAACACTTCCCAAGGCTTCGGAGGAGAGGGTCGTGACGACACAGCGAGCGACGGCGCACTGTCGGAGAGACGGTCTTCAACAACCCGTATCCCTGGTGGCTCATCACCCCGCTGGATTGCTGCGGCCACCTGTTGCAGGACAGCAGTCCCGGGTTTGTATGTAGATGACGGCATACACCTGATGGCGGTAACTCAAAGAGGCTGGATGAGGAGAACCGGCGCTCAACCAGCGCCCACGGGCGACACTTCAAGTCGAGCGCTCTACTACCTAGGGACTGTGGTCCAGACTTAATGGCAAGGAGAGTAATGGGCGTGGATATGTTCAGGTCGGGCAGCTTTGAAACGCATGGAACGGGGTTCGATCAGACGTAGCCGTCGCCGACAGCAATCTTCGTTTCACAATGTGGAACGTTTGATCGTAACAAACGCGTGCCCGAGTAAAGACAAGGCACGCACGTTGATAGCAAAACAGTTCCCTCGCTTTAACCCCACCTCTGCCATCGATGCGGGGGGTGCTCCCCGCTCGGCCGCCTCAACAGCCTCCACTACCAGGTCGTTTTCCTTCGTGCTCGCCGTGCGCTTTCCCTGGGGTTCCGCCCCCGCCGCCACCGGCTCTGCGGCGCTCGGGGCCTCATCGCCTTGAGCGATGCGCGATGATGCCCCACCCGCGTCCCCACCAACCCCGTTGACTTGGGCAGCTGCCGCAAGAACATCATTCCGTGTCCCCAGGGCAGGCGCCGACTCAACACCACCACGACTCGAGGATCTGCCGTCGCTGCCCTTGACGGCATCACCATCGCCCGCCGCGCCCGCCGCCCCTGAGTCAGGGACCAGCGAAGGTCTACTGCTGCCACGAGCGCCACCGTTCGCCTCCGACACGGCTGTGCACCCACCCCCGCGGTCCCCCGACGATCTCGTGCTCCATCCGGCAGTCACGTTTGTCGCCGGCGGCGGCGCTGGAGGTGTAAGAGCGGCGGCGGTGGAAGCGGCGGCTGGGGCGGCGACAGCCGCAGCGGGAGGAACAACAGTTGCCGCTGTTGCGGTGGAAAGGGGCGGGCCATTCGGCCTGACTACGGCATCGATCGCCTTGACGATGTCTTCCAGGACGGCCTTGTTGTTGCTTGATGCAGACGGGGTGCTGATCGGGTTCGGGGACCGACGACAATGGGCAAGGATGTGGAGCTATTTTAAGAAGCGTCCTACATTGTAACGACGCACTTACAACAATTTGGAGAGAGATGCGAGCGTGTACAAACATGTTCAAAATGTGTGAGTTTAAAAGGTGATAAATATTTCAAGGGAAAGAGATGAGTGCCGAGCGTACAGTGATATTCAGTGTACCGTTTTCCGTCTTGCAGGGGTTCTCGTTTGAAAGGAAGGATCTATCCTTCTGCCGCATGAACATTCTCGAAAAAATAAGATGTTAACGGCACACGCGCCGCATCAAACACGCAGACGCCGCCCCGGCCGTTGGCTTTGATAATCGCCTTGAGCACTAAGGTAACGGCTAACCTGTCCTCGTGCCATGTCCACTCCCAAAGGCTACCCTTGGGCTTGAAGCCGACGGCCTCCATCATCGCCCTGTGGCCCTCCAACGGCAGCAATCTCTTCTTGAAGTTGTCGTTGCTGCCAATCATAACGGCACAAGCAAAGAAGACCGATCGCCGGGGGGGGGGAGGGAGTCGTCAGCTTATCACGAGCGTTTCAGCGGTTCTCTCGCGCCAACAGCAAAGAGTCCCGATACGGCAGTAACTTTCCCTGGAATTTCAGCAGCAATCCTCTTCCACCACAATTGTGAGAAATGCTTGCCATTGGTGGGAGCCTAAACGGAGCCAGCCGGAGACACTAGGCCTAGAGATGCTTGCCATTGGTGGGAGCCAAAACGGAGCAAGCCGGAGACACTAGGCAAGGCGGAAAAGCGCGGGGGGACCCAAAAGGCGCGGTTACGCCTGTGCATGTTCTTCGTGCGGACCATTGTACTTTTCTGCATGCATGTTGTACAGGAGGCGTACCTAGTGGCGATGCGGCGGTACCGCGGCACGTTCGGCTGGTTGACGAGGTTCGCGACCAGCATCCGAAGCATGGCCATCCCGTCCTTGGCGGCCTGGGCTGAGTTGTCCGCCACAAGAGCGGCGAGGGCGGCTCGAGCAGTCGCCTTCCTGCCTTCCGTCGCCGCCAGGGCCGCCGCCTCCGCGGCTGCTTTGTCCGCCGCTGTTGGGGAACACGGTCAGGCGGTATGGCAAGCTTTGTCGACTTGTGTACAAAACCGCGGGCACTGGTACCCTCTATTACCGCCACATACCCCGGATGGATCTGAATAACGACGGTACTGGCAGCCCATAGCGTAACAAATTCGACTACCTCGGACATGAACATATTGCGTTGTGCCTAGTCCTTGTTCCTCATATGTACGAGAGGGGAGAAGGTTCTCCGGGTCGTCTCTCGCAAAAAACCTGCCCGTCCCACATTTGAGCGCGCGTGGCGGCTACAATCGACATGTAGCAGTAAACAATTCAGCAAGTCTCCTGGCTAAGAACGCGGAAGCTATAACAAGAACGCAGAAGCAAGCACGTGCGCGCACCTTCTTGAGCCTTGTCCTTCTCCGGGTCCCTCACCGGCAGCCCGCCTGAAACACTCGCACCGTTCGCCTGCTCGCCTGCTCCCCCGTTCAAGCCCTCCGAACTTCTACTTCTCGCGCCCTCGCCGCCGCCGTCGGCCCCTACGACACTGGCACTCGTATCACTCCTGTCGGTTGTTGCTTTCCTACTCGCTTCCCTTGCATCGGCTGCTCCGACGGAAGAAATGGCCCCGATACTCTTCGTGCCCGCACCACCACCCTCCACCCCAGCCTGCAGCAAAAGAAGCTGCTTGATGGTGCCGAGCTCGGCTCTGAGCTCCGAGGTGTGGCTGCCGACCCGCGCGGCCAGGAGGCTGCTGCTGTCCTGCTCCGCGCGAGACGCGAGCGCCTTCATCGCCTCGACCGCTTCCACGAGGTGACCCGTCTGCTGCTCCATCGTCTCGGTGAGGCGGCGGAATTCTCCCGCGAGCGGAGGCTCGCTCGGAGATGTTCCTGGTGGTGCTTGTTCGCTGCCGTCGAACGGGAGGAACGCCGTCCCGTCCTCAAGGGTCTGCGAACGAGCCAGTCCACCCTGCTCGTAGGCACGCTCGGCGTAGGCAGAGTTCTCCGCCGCTGCGTCGGCCCCTCTCGGTTCAGAGTGCCCCATGCCTCCGCAGGTCGTGGCTTCTGTCGCGCCAGCCGAGTGCGGTATTCTTCCCGCCGCTGCGGCCGCCGCTCGGCTAGAGGCACCGCTCTGGCTTGGAGTGCCACCCTCTGATCGTGAGGCTGCGTAGTAGGTGCCCAGCGCGCCGACAGCTCCCATGGCAAGCACTCCCGGGACTGCCAGTTGTATCCATAAGGGGATGGAGGCTTCTGCCGGAAAGGCGGAGGATCCTGATGATGCTGATATCGACGATAGTTCCGAGCTCCCTCCCGCGGTCGCAGATCTGTTCACGCGGGGACCGGTTTTCAGAAACAGTTCTGAGCTTTCGTCCATTCAGCAGACAATACCCCCTTGCTTTGGATGTACATACCTAACACGAGTGGGTCCGACTCAGAACCCGCTACATGCAAAGGAAAGGACAGACAGACAGACTGACAGACAGATATGAGACAAAGGCATTGGTTGTTGCAATTGAAAGAGACACAAGAACTTGCGTCCTGATTGACTAGTCGAGTCTAGCAGAGAGCTACATCCATCGCCGAGAGGGGAACAAGAACAAGTAAATATGCACACATGCACACGGCTTCAGCGTGCACATGTCCACGACATGACGGTGTAAGGTTGAAGTGGAACATTTGAAACGAATGGCACAGCAGTAACACTCCGTATCCCGTATCTATTTTGATATTAGTAGGTTGCCAGCAAGTAAACGCCAATACGGGCTTTGCCTCTCTCCACAGACATATGTTTACAGCAGTAGTTTCGGAAAGGTGTATGCATACATGTATCAATACCTGTGGGAGTGTTGTGTTTACTGCATGGGTGCGGGTGGGTGCATCAGCTATGTGCTTGTACTGCTCCACATTAGACCTAGGGGAACCTCACCCATTGCTGCCCTCGCCCCCTTCCGCTCGAGAAAGAGCCGCAGATATCTCCTCAGCGGTCAATCCCTATGGACGGAAGGGTGGACACGAACGCCGCGACGGATGGGGGGAAATATCTCGTGTCTGCTAAGAATCGAGTGCCGTCTGTATGCATCACTCGGTGTCCCTACTTAAATAGGCACGCAGATGTGTTATTGAACGCTGCTGCGCATCGAGCGATTCAAACCTTGTTCTCGAGAAAGCTGATTCTTTGAGACAGTGGAGCGGTCTTCGCCTTGGGATGAACCAAAAAGTTAACGCCATTCACGATCTGGTCTTCCCGCATCGTGGCGTGGTATGTGGGTAGTCAACCGGAGAGCTGGCTCTCGAGGGCCATGGTCCATGACCTTAAAATAAATTGTGTATATTTTCTAAGTCATGGAACGCAGGTATCTCCTTGAATTCGTTACGTTCTAGTCTGCGGGGTCACGATTGCATCATCATGTGGCATGCTGGTGGTCGACTGCCTTTCAATTGAATCCAGCAGCAGCCCTCGCAAACGCAACCGCCCGCGGCAACCGCTGACCCGTGGCGTGCAATAGTCAATCGCTGATTGCATGTGTTCGAGAGCGCCATCAACGGCTGCCACCATGAGTTGCTCCGCCTTTGTTCGTCGACTGCAAAGCACCAGCAGCACCAGCACCAGCAGCATTTCGAACATCGCCGTCCGGTTTTGCTCCGGCTTGCCCAGCAAGAGCATCCTCGCCACGGCGGTTCCACCTTGTCCCAGCTTTCGGAGAGATCCGATGCCAGCGGTAGCTCGGGGCCTCGCGTGCGCAGCTCGGGGGTTCTCGTCTCGTGCGGAGGCGATAACAACGACGAGGCTGACGGTTGAGGGAGGAGCCATGACCGTCCCCTTGCCCCTTCCAGGATTGGCCGGGCTAACCGATGTCAGTGTGTCATTGGATACGACGGTCCGGGAGTTCGTCGGTGAGCTTATGGCCCGGGACAAGAGGTAAGCTGTTGTTTTGAGCTTGAGGGCAAGGATGGTGTGCCATTATTCATTATTCCGAGTCCACTCCACACGTTGGTTGGTGCGTTCAAGTGTGAGCGCCAACTCGGGTGTTCGCCCGCCCCCCCCCCCGCATACATCTCCGCTGTTTATGGCGACCTTCCGCTGCCGCTCATCCTATCTACGTGCGCAAAGCTCGCCTCGTCTCTTGTCTTGCGCCCTTCCATGTCAACGTTTGAACAGGCATAGGTATCCCGCCGAGAAGGGACGAAGGAACGTGAAAATGACCAGAGATTTCGAGCTTACATGCGGTGTGCATTGCATGCATACCATGCGTACAGCAGGACTTGTCGTGAAGTTTTGCGGAGGCTCTCCGGTTGCCGGTGATGGACGTTTTCTCTATCCATTACCAAACACGTACAGAGGTGCAACTCTACACAGTTCCAAATATATTGGACTACAACGGTTTGTCGGGATGCTGTATACAGTAGGTGTCCCGATATAGTGCCGGTACGTGTCCAGGCGATTTGACCGGCACTATACCGGGCACCGGCACTATTCATAATTGTGCCTGAATAGTGCCAAGCCGGCACTATTCAGGGCCTGAAAATCCCTCTACAAGTATTGTGCGGGCGTGGCACTCTTCAGGACTGTTCGACTCCAGAGTTCAGCGCTTGCGCTTTGCGGGGCTGACAGAGTACCAAATGAACGGTATATGTATCAATCGTGAGGTGGGCGACGTGGGCGGGCTTCATTAAGTTTCGTGAGGCTCTTGGACTGTCGAAAACACATTGGTGACATTAAAATTAACTTGATTGACCAGATAGATTTGTTGCGCAACAGTTGTTCTCTTCCCAGCTCAGCGCAAGCACTCGCTAGTGAAACGTTGCTGCTGCCTTTCAACCGTAGACTGTGCTGCCAGTCACCTCGCTATCAAATTATTATGTGTTCGTTTGCAAGAAGGCCGTAGCACTATTCAGGCAACCTAAAAGGCACTCCGGACAGCGAAAGAAAAACGCTCATGCATGTATCCGATGTACATATGGAGGTAAAACATGGATGGATGTGGTGCTCCTTACATGAGCACACAAAATAAGCAGATGAAATCTAAAAAAGGGGTCAAGAAGATACCGAACTCCCCTGTTCCTTCGATAACAAGAAACAGAGAGAAGACCAAGCCTAGAAGCGAGAAAAACGACTGGCCAACCAAAAGACGTCGTCAGTCTCAGTGCGGTCAAAAACAAGAAATATTTGTTTCTCAAGGAAGTCAGAGGGTGTCATGGAGGAGGCTGAGCTATTCTCTGGATGTCAGATAGAAATGGTAGCAACCGAGAGAGAACTACGTGTCAGCCAAGGCTTACTACTTTTGAACACGCGCTTGTTCTGAGTGTTTTCATCCTTCCCTAGAAGTATTTTATTTACCACCACTACTACACTCTTCGCTAATACTTTTCCACTATTTTTCGGGCTTTCGTCTCTAGATTCTGCGCTCCTGCGGCGTTTGTTGTGAGGAAGGTCATCTCGCTCGAAACTCTTGTTTCCCTCAACGCCATATTTTCCTCCTGCATCATCACTGCTATCCTTGGCTATAGTTTCCACATCCATCCTTCGTCACTACCACCATCTTCTTTTTCGCTCGCCTCCCTACTGAAATCCCAGCCTAACAGTGGAACCTAGTCGATCGGTAAACCGTGACATTTGAAGACGTTACGCGTACCGAGAGAAACCGAGTTTGACTTGTAGCTCGAAGGTAAATCTCCGAATCCTGTTGGCGTGGAAGGCTTGAGGCGAACAAGGCCGAGTGTGGAGTGTGAACCGGCACTATTGAGGGGTTCGAGAGTGTCTGAACCGGCACTATTGTGGGCAGCACTGAATAGTGCCAAACCGGCGCTACACCGGGCTTCGGCACTATTCAACCGGCACTATATCGGGACACCTACTGTTTCTGACTAGTATTTGCATGCATGTCGCCCCGTCCGCTGGTCTGCCGTCATCCGCCACCGTTGCCGGAAAAAAGCCTTACAGCCGTAGATGTCGCGAACGCGGATGGCAACAAGGTCGCTGCGTGCACTGCCATGGCCGACATCGCCACACGCGGCCTGCTCGTCTCTCTGGGGGGCAGATCGCGCATTCGTGTCGTGAGCAGCGGAGGCGGCGATCACCAGGCCACGGAAGTACCCGAACCGGAGGTCTACGCGCTCATCCAGGCAGAGGTCGTCCAAGCCGGACGAGTGACCCTAACAAGGGATAGCTTGGACGAACTTTGCGCCAAGGTGAGACATCAGCTGGGAAGTCTCGTGGTAGTGGTGGTGGTGGTGACCATCGGCAAGCGTGGAGCTGACCCCGGGCAATTTTCTTCCTCAAGCTCAGCTCTGGACGTTCAGCGACGTATTCGCGAAGCACATGCAGCGCCGTTTGGTGAAACGGTTAACCAACAGGTTTTCTGACTGCCGCGAGTTACAGAGCAGTCCCTAAAGGCCACGACAGGGATGTCCCGACTGATACTTGCGGCCAAGCGGTATTATTTAATAGTAGTTCTTGACAGTCGCCATCTGCCGAGTATAAAAATTGTAATCTGAGCTCAAAAAGTCTCTGCCGCTGCAACCCTCTTTGCCTCTACTGGCGCACCGCACCTGGTGCTCTCACAGATGTACCGGAAACGTAATCCAGAGAAAGTGGCGACGACGCTCGATCCGATTCTCGCGGACGGTTGGCTAAACGCCTTGGTCGAAGATGGCTTGGTGTTCACCGCCGACAAGGTACTGTACGCATTGGCATGTCGTTGACATGTCATGACTTACGGTAGTGGCGTCGACGTGATGTTGCCTCGTGCACCCTTTGGTGTGGTTGTTTGCTACTGAGTTTAAGAGGTAGCGCCCGCCCTTTGATACTCAAACTTCAGCGGTACGCATGGGGTTATTTTTTCTCCGTGCTTTGACGAAAACCCGGGTCCCTCTTAGTGGTCGCATGTTCATTGTGTTCAGGTTCGAAGTCGGTGCTGGATCCTGGTACAGATCTTAACCCCGGCCGTGTCTATGACCTTGGATTCAGCGAGTGTTCTCAACAAAACGACAACGCGTGTTTCATACTCTGTTACAGGGGCGAGTGGTCCTCTTGAACCCATCCGGGCCCGGAGTGAGTGACGAGATCGCACGCGCGCTGCGCGAGGACGACGAATTAGTCGATCTCAAGGTGTCCGCGCTTCGTCAACAGGTACGTACATGACACGAAAAGCTGCTGGTCTCGGATCGGCATTGCATGTCTTGAGCCTGGACGATACGAAAGGTTGCGCCACCGGTCGCTCGCATCCCGGTGCGAGGATGTAGACGCCTTGGACAGATGCTTCTCTGTGTTATAGAATAATCGACCCGTGGAACCGGTTCGTAGCGTTGTTATTGGTTGGTTTTCGCGTTGGATTTGGAGCCTACCCGATGTATAGCGGGGCTGGTGTTGCTCTTTTTTGTCAGGCACACGTGGCCGTTGCCTGGCACAGCTCGAAACAAATAGCGATGGGGCGTCCCCCTCGAGATCTGTCTTAAATAGGGGGAGAGTGGTCGTCTTGTTTTTTGTGTTGTGCACGGGTGAAGAATAACCGCTCCGCCGTGCCTGCTGCTGTTCAGCTTAACGCGCTGTACTCGGAGGATGCGCGGCTGCAAGGGATCAGGGACAATCTCATTGCAAAGGCCCGGCGGCAGGTTACCCTCAAGAAGGGGGTTGTTCTCGTGTTCTTGACAGCGCAGTTCGGCACCTTAGGTAAGCGCTCCCAGTCGCAGGCTCAACATATACATGTGTGCCAGGTGTGTTGCCACTAACGCCTCTGTAGGTGAGGCGGTATATAGATCAAAGAGGGAAGGTCGACGTTTTTCAAGGTGGTGTGCGTAAGGACACGCATGCACCCCACGAGTCCAGCAGCTGCCTCTCCTGCCTCGACCCGTTTATGGTGGTGGGTGCTCGGTGTGGGATACCGCTCATTCAAGCACCGACACCGTTGATGCTAACAAATGGTCCTGTCTGTGAAATTGTACCCCTATTCTGCGATGCGTTTGACGTTTCCTTGGCAGCCTACTGCGTTTATGAGGTGTTCAGCTGGGACGTTATGGAGCCGGCAACGTACTTCCTCATGGTGCGGACCGTGTTGGGCAGCTTGGCGGCGGTCTCTGCATGATGTTTGGCGTTCGGCCTCGCGTTGACTGTCCACGATGCTTTTGATTTCCCCGCTTGGGTCTACGTCTGTGCAGACTCAAAAGTTTCCCAGCATGTGCGCGACAAAGTGCAGCTGATACTTATTTTTTTTGTTTCCTGCGTTGTGGTACAAACTTTCGCTCGACACGATA